CCAAAAAAATCAGCTTGCACACCTGCAGTAGTGTTTGTTGTTTGCTGCTGTGTGGCACCTGTCAGCTCACGCCTTGATCTGAAGTCCTGCCCAGTTCCACTCTATCTCCGTGATCGGTGGGGGGTGGCCCACTTCGACCCGAGGATCTTTAAATGGCTGCTTTTCTGAAGTAGAGGGTCAGGCTTTTCTTTCTAGTCTGTCTTGGGTGGGTGCTCTCATGACACTGCTCACTATGGTAAGAGCCCACAAGCCACACTGGCAGATGGGCGGTGGCTGCACACACGCCGCCCTGGCAGAAATTGAACCCAGGTCTCCCACGTGAGAAGTGAGAATTCTACCACCGAGTCACCAACACCTCCAAGGGTTTGTTTAAAATAAATGAATTTTGCCTCCCCTCTGAGCTGAGCAAAAGGGGAAAATACAGCATCTGGAACTTCGAACAGTACATTTTTGTGTAAATTTGGGTGGAAGATTGATATCGTGCTCCCTGTTTTCTAAAGAAAAGTTTTCTTTCCTCACGGCAAGAAAATATTGCTGCCAGAACTTTGCCAAAAACAAATGTCCCCACATGGATCTTGCCGTCTACCTCAAGTTGTGCACTGAAACTGTGAGCAATGAGTTTCACCAGTTCCCCAGACATTCCAATCTACTCCGTGCCTGTTGGCCTCCATGATGCTTGTCTCTCCACCTAGAATTCTTGTCAGTCTGATTGTTCCCAGGCCAAATGCTCACTCTACTCCCCTCCCCCATTTGATTTACTTGCATTATTATCAGATACTTTTTCTGTCCATATGTCATCTTAATGATTTTCTAAGTCCCCCAAACACATGGATTTATCTACTTTCATGACAATTTCGTTCATGGCACCTAAACATAACTCACTGCCATCTAGTACATCCAACTCCTAGTGACCCTATAGCACAAGAGCAGAACTTGCCCTGTGCGTGTCCAAGGCTGGGAATCTTCCTGGAATGGAAGCTTCATCTTCCCTCACAATGACTGATGGATTTGAAGCACCAGCCTTGTCACTAGCAGCTGAAAGACTGAAGTCCAAATATCGCTTGTTTTAAGGCTCCTTCTCTGGTCACCCCGCACTCTTCTCAGTTCCCTAAACGTATGAGCAAAAGCCCTTCAATGTACGAAGTATGTGTTGTACGTTGGCTCTGCACCAATCAGTATTCTACGTGCTGGGATCACCGGAGCAAGCCAGGCACCACTTCATCTTATGATGCTGACCATCTTCTTGTGAGATGCAGGCAAACATTTTAAAAACGTGATAAATAGATGTTACCTCAGGAGCAATTATGCTTTTAAAAAACAATTAAAGCAAATTGAGGGAGTTAGGGCTTGCCAGGTAGTCAGCAAAGGGTTCTGCCATCAGATCCCATTTCAAAAGAGACCTGCAGCAAGCAAGGCAGCAAGTCATACAGAGAGTTAAGAAATTAATATTTTAGGCAAAGATAACAGAAGAAAAAGTGTGAAGTAGGAATTTTATAGAAACAGTAAAGAAGCCAAGTGTGACCAGAATAGAGTGACAATAATTATAGGAGATTATATCACATTGATATATCACATACAACAACACATTGTATAGGACAATAATGAGCAAGATCAAAGACTTAGAATTGTACCAAGTAAAAAGGGAAACATGCCAGTTCATGCCCAATAAGGTGACTATTGTTTGTTTAAAAATTTTTGAAAATCATGTTAGTAGGATTGTAGAGAAGTTGGAATTCTCATGCATTGCTGGTGAGGATATAAGTGGTACAACTGTTGTAGATTTGGTAATTCCTTAAAAAGTTAATCATGGAGCTAATATATGACACAGCAATTTCCTTCTTACATATATACCCAAAATAATGGGAAGCAAGGACTCAAATAGATATTTCTCAATAGTCAAAAAGTAGAAACCACGTAAGTGTCCATCCATCAGCAGGTGAATGGGTAAATAAAATGTGATACAATGAAATGTTATTCAACCCTCAAGAGAAATGAGGTTT